GTATGGTTTATATGGACAAAAAAATTAAGGATGAGCTTTTTGGTAATTTTTTTTTCACACAAAAAGTATATGAAAGCTTTGATAGACAGTGTAGAAAATATTCAAATGTGGTGTAAGGTGGAAGATGAGGGTTAGGTATTTATAGAAAAAAAAACTTTTTTAAAAATATTCGATATTTTTTTTTTTAAATCTGTATTTTTTAATAATTTTTCTGTATTTTTTCATAATTTTTAATAAATTTTAATATAGTTAATTAATCTGGACAGTTGGATTTGAAAAATATTCAAATCCAAGAGCCAAGGCGCTACCACGTGGCCAACGGTCATAATTCTGACCGTTGGGCCTTTTTTTATTATTTTTATTTTTTTGTTAATTTTTTTTACCGTTGGAAATCCAATGGTCTACAAAAACTAGCCATTGGAAATCCAACGGCATTGAGAGGGCCACGTCGCCTCCTTCCAGGTGAAGCACAAGTAGGTTGACAGCGGGCCCCGCCGCTTGCACCCTTGTCCCTTACTCGCGCCCACTCGCAAGTGAGTTGCACGCGCCAAGCAAATAGCCCAGCTCCTTGGTCAGTCAATTTTGGGTTGGCCCAAAGACCAGCTTGGGCTGGGTGCCAGGCAAGCTGTTGGGCTGGAGTGAATTGACAAGGTGCCAACCTGGTTTTTTAACTGGGTGCTGGGCTATTACACCTCCGGTGGAACTGCTCTTAGTACGTGGTCTAGAGTCTCTCTGCCCTGGATTGAGGTTGTGGCCTTTGGAGTAGTAAATAAATTCATCACATTTCCCCGGTGAAATTTTCTTTGTGTTCTTTGTTTTTAGCATCAAAAGTTGCAACAGAATTTGAAGAAGAACGCCGTCGTTGAAATTATACTGAATTTGAAGGGGGGAATGTGGAAAACACTAAAGCATTTTGAGTGTCAAGCTTCTCATTATATTTATTGCCAACACTATCAACACCTACCAGCCTTGCCCCAATATCGTGGATCTTAGTTTGCCTAAAACAATCAAATAAAATTTCTTAGATTTTCTTTTTTGAAAAGTGATCTTTAACGGATGTAGAAAAATGAACAGTTCGGATCGTGAATATCACATTCCGATATTTATAGTTAACTGAAATATGAGTTGATGTTATATAGTTTCTAAAGACTTTATAAACTTCGAGCAATATTTTCACTAATATTAAAACTCTGAACATAATATCAACAATGTGGTATGCATATACTAATTTAGTATTATGCTTTCCATTTTTTTGGGTCAAATTATGTTTTTCATTTTCATTGTTTATTAATTTAAAATATATTTTCTTCAACGGGTAACTAGTCGATTTCGGGTCAGGTCATATTACCCATTTACTTTAACGGGTGTTACACGATACACCCCGTTAAGATATCAGATATGTCACGAAAACGACACGAACATAAAAAACATGACATGAATGTTAGGTGTAATAAAACACAGATTATGACCCAATTTAAAAAGAAAGAGAAAAGATAATATGATAAATTATAAACTGTTGGATGGTTGTTTTCTATGAATCTTCTATGAATTTTCATTTAGATGTATCTTTCTTGACTCTATGGTTCTGGTCTCCTAGTCTCAAATAAGGCACCACAGAAAAGATAAAATAATAAATTATCAACTGTTGGATAGTTGTTTTCTACGAATCTTCCATGAATTTTCATTTAGATGTATCTTTCCTGACTTTATGGTTCTGGACTCCTCTCAAATAAGGCACTACATTGAATTCTTTGTGCAAATTAAGCAAGCTGCTTTCTGAAATAAAAAATTAATGAAAAAATGCTGGTAGAAGTACACAATCATCATTCAATAGGATCAGGGCTGGCTCTGAGAATTTGGAGGCCCTAGGCGAGCCTTCGAAGTGGGGCTCAAGAGTTCTCTAACTCCCGACCTTTTGTACATTGAAGTGTGTAAAAAAAATTCACTAAATACATGAAAAGTCTATTTTTACATCAAATATCATTAAAAATTAATACCAAAAAATAAGAAAGATATACAAACATTACTCAAATATTACCCGTCTCGTGTTTTTAGATGCAAATGCACTTATTAAGTTTACATAATCTAATTTTTCAACTAATTCAAACAGAAAGAGAAGTCCCTACCTAGTACGCCAAATTCCAATCATTTTTCTATTGTTACAATGTTACTTATTACATTCAATAAATGAATGAATAGTTGGATTACAGAGACAACATCTTACAACTAGGAAAAATACTAGAGTGAAGAGGATGGTAATTTTCGTATACGAACCATGGACGAGGTGGATTTGAATAATTTATTATATATTATATAAACTAATTAATTTGAAGATTAAATATGTCATTTTCAAAAAGGTGAAAGTTTTAATCTTTTAGGTACATAATAAAGATATAAGTGGTGTGATCTTAAAATAGGGTAATAAAACCTCATAAAAATAAACATAAAGGTGATATTTAAGAGAGAAGCAAAAGTAAAAATAAAATGGTGTGGACTATTTAAAAGGGAGAAGACGTGCAGCTATAAAAAAAAATAAAAAGATAGTTGGACCATCTTAAGTAAAATCGTGCAATTAAAATGATGTTGGAAATAGGGTTGTCTTCTTCCTTGCGCAAGGCCGACCCTGCAACAAAAAATTTCCAGATTCCGACGTTTACATATAAGTCCGCATAGCTCCCGCCTGTCTTTGTCCAAACCTTCCTAGTTTTGCCTAAAAATTAGGGGGCCCTAGGCGGGCGCCTACTCCGGCTACGCTCAAGGCCGGCTCTGAATAGGATAACTTCATTAATTGACGTAATATGTACATATCACTTATCACATCAAATAGTGCACAAATGTGATACAAAAAAGAGTTTTTTAGATATCGACCCTTGCAACTCTTATTTCTTAGACAAAAACCCACCTAATTATAAACATCCAAATAAAACCCAATTTTGAAAATGACTGCAAAGTAAAAAAGTAATTGACCTATTATTACAAAATATTTACAACTTGTACCACAATATTCAAAATAAATCAATAAATTTTATTACTCACCTTAATTACAATGAACAAATAATTACACACATATTATTACCCCTAACACACACACACACACACACACATATATACGTTCAAATGTATATAGCACACCTGTTTGCAATAAACTAATTTGGTAGTAGGGAAGGTAAATTTCTTTACAACTCTAATATGATAATATCTAGTCTCAAAGATATGGTAGAATCTTATAAAGATATCTCAGTTATGTTAGGATTTACACAATCACATTTCTAATCTAATATGACTGCAACAAAAACTACTTTCTTGAGTTTTCAAAATTTGACCTTGAATTTTTACTTTTTTATTATTTTTTATTTTTTGTAAAACTAAAATTAGTTACCAAACACGATTTCAGTTTCTTTTTTTTTTAATTGAAAATTAAAAATGAAAAAACTGAAAAACAAAATGATTATGAAATGTCCCCTTAAAATTTGAAAGTTCCTCCCCAACGTACCCAAGTAATTTCTCATATGTACCTAAATGTTGACGACGTCAACGTATTTTAGTAAGCCTAATCAAACACCGTTCACACACTTTTTCAATTTGATTCCGAAAATATGCATATCAATATAATCGCACCGAAATGACTGATCATATTATTTTCCAACAAAAAGACGAATCTTGGGCCCATTGACGGGCAATTTGCAAAAAATATTCCATCAAAACAAACTTGCAATAGACTAATTTTGTCAGATTTGTACAACGCCTCTGCCCTGTTCACACCAGTGCCTCTTCTACTATATAAGTTGACAGATAGAGTTACTAAACAAAATTTTAGTTTTTTTAAAATATAAAAATTGAAAATAAAATAATTATAAAAAGTACTGATGGATCGAAAATTTAAACTCGCTGCTATTGTGATAAAGAAGATATTGTAACATTTTTAATTCATGATTGGTTCTTAAACTTTGAACTCATTATTGTACGATATCATTATCATTATCGTTACTACATATCTCAATGTATACAATTAAATTATAACTATATATCTTCACTGTATAATTAGTTAGACTCTTTCCAGTCAATCGTTCACAACTGTTAGTTTGATTGTCATAAGCAAATACACCAACGTTTGTGAAAAGACTATTGATTAATAGAGTTTTTGAAAACTAATGGAAATCAAATAAGAAATCAAAGGCACGAAGACATAAAACTTAAGCTGAACCTAATTGTTGGACGGGACCAGTAGCAAAAATTATAAGGAAAACTAATGAAAATGGTTTGAAAACTTTGAGTTTAATGATAAGGACAAAATAAAGGGTAAAGTGAATAGTACCAGGTTTGACTTTTTAGTGTAAAAATGTGGTTTTTCATTAAAGTGAACAGTACCGTGAGCTTTTCGTTAAAACTCCCAAAATTATATGGAGTAATACAGAGTTGTTGGGTCGAGTCAACCCATTGACCCCCCCCCCTCCCTCCGCTACTGACCGAACGGCACCTTAAATTTTGAAAATTCCTCACCAAACATACCCAAAGTTATCTCAGACATGTACGTAAATGCTGACGACCTCCTCACATTAAAATAAGCACCGTTCTTACTTCATACACTTTTTCAATTTGATTGCGCAAATATGCATATAATATAATCGCACTGAAATGGCTCATATTATTGGATGAGGATCCTTTCCGAATCCTCTTTGTGAGGATTTGGAGGATTAATCCATTGTATTCGTTCATCGTACATTATGCGGTCAGTTTTTATTAAGTATTGTTATATTTAATTTAAAATAATTTATGACTGCATGATTTATGATGAACGAACACAATTAATTGATCATCCTGATATTTACCAAAAGGATCCAACTAAGGTCATATTCCCATATTATTTACCCAACAAAAAAAAGAAGACTAATCTTGTGCCCGTTGACGGGCAATTTGCAATAAACTAATTTTGGCATATATGTACAGTTCAATGTTCACACCAGTACCTTTTCTACTATATATTTCGATACAAAGTTGAAAGATGATGTTTGAACTCATGGATCGTTCTGTGTACGAGGCAGCAAGATCGGGTGATCTTGGTTTCCTTAAAAAAATTAGAGATGGTGATCTGTCGATTAATCTTCTTCTGCAGAAAACACCTAAATAACAATATTCTTCACCTTGCAGCTGAGTTCAAACAAGTCAATTTTTTCAGAGGCGTCCCAATCGACAATTAATCTCCACTATTTTGGGACACCAACAACAAAGGCGACACTCCCATGCACGTAGCTGCCAAAGCAGGCTGTGATGAAGTAGTAGGGTTGCTCATTAATCGTGCAAGGATACTATACACTGAAGGAGCAGATGAAGAAAGTGCGCTGGCCGATGGCAAAGCATATAAAAATTTGCTCCGGATCAAAAATTTGATTGAAGATACAGGATTACATGTTGCCATCAAGTACGGTCACCTCAAAGTGGTCATTCTTTTGGTCGAAGCCGATCCTGAGTTGTGTTGTTTTACTAATAGTTAGGCCTGGCAATTCCTGACACGATCCGATAACCCGACACGACACGACACGAAATTAACAGGTGTTCGGGTCGACACGATAACGAAACGGGTCGTTATCGGGTAACCCGATAAGCACCTGTTAAGATAACGGGTTTGTTCGGGTATACACGTGGGTAACACGATACACGATAAGCAGAATATTAATTTAATAATTTATAACCCTAAAAAAATACTATAATAATTATATATATATTAATTTAACAATTTTATACCCCTAAAAACTATAATAATTATACATACAAAATAAATATATTTAAATCTACTTAATAAATAAATATATATATACACACACCATTGAACTTCATGGGATACGAATTATACAAAACTAATTTCAACGATCCAACCGTCAAACATGTTTGCATATACTTCGAGATCGCATACGCCAAACATTGCAAAAAAAAAAACATTCAGAGAGCAAGTAACGGGACAAAACTTTTCGACGGTTATAAACGAAAAATCACGATTTAACGGTTATTTTAACTCCGATTTTGATGATTTTTTACAACCACACTCCTTGACCCTATATGAATACAATGATTGAATTCGATCTTCAATTTAAAATATTTACACTAGTGGATACCACAAAATCTTATGTTATGCTTAATAAAAGTATGAATAAACTCTTAAGTATTAGTGAATCTATTGTTTTGATGGGATACTCATTCTACAAAACTAGTTTCAATGATCCAACCGTCAAACATGTTTTTATATATTTCGAGATCGCATACGCCAAAAATTGCAAAAAACAAACATTCAGAGAGCAAGTAACGGGACAAAACTTTTCGACGATTATAAACGAAAAATCACGATTTAACGGTTAATTTAACTCCGATTTTGATGATTTTTTACAACTACACTCCTTGACCTTATATGCATTACAATGATTGAATTCGATCTTCAATTTTAAAATATTTACACTAGTGGATACCACAAAATCTTATGTTATACTTAATAAAAGTATGAATAAACTCTTAAGTATTAGTGAATCTATTGTTTTAATGGGATACTCATTCTACGAAACTAGTTTCAATGATCCAACCGTCAAACATGTTTGTATATATTTCGAGATCTCATACGCCAAAAATTGCAAAAAAAAACATTCAGAGAGCAAGTAACGGGACAAAACTTTTCGACGGTTATAAACGAAAAATCACGATTTAACGGTTAATTTAACTCCGATTTTGATGATTTTTTACAACTACACTCCTTGACCTTATATGAATACAATGATTGAATTCGATCTTCAATTTAAAATATTTACACTAGTGGATACCACAAAATCTTATGTTATACTTAATAAAAGTATGAATAAACTATTAAGTATTAGTGAATCTATTGTTTTGATGGGATACTCATTCTACGAAACTAGTTTCAATGATTCAACCGTCAAACATGTTTGTATATACTTCGAGATCGCATACGTCAAAAATTACAAAAAACAAACATTAAGAGATCAATTAACGGGACAAAACTTTTCGATGGTTATAAAAAGAAAAATCACGATTTAACGGTCATTTTAACTCTGATTTTGATGATTTTTTGCAGCTACACTCCTTGACCTTATATGAATACAATGATTGAATTCGATCTTCAATTTAAAATATTTACACTAGTGGAAACCACAAAATCTTATATTGTACTTAATAAAAGTATGAATAAACTATTACGTATTAGTGAATCTATTGTTTTGATGAGATACTCATTCTACGAAACTAGTTTCAAAGATCCAACCGTCAAACATGTTTGTATATACTTCAAGATCGCATACGTCAAAAATTACAAAAAACAAACATTCAGAGATCAAGTAATGGGACAAAACTTTTCGACGGTTATAAACGAAAAATCACGATTTAACGATCATTTTAACTCCGATTTTGATGATTTTTTACAACCACACTTCTTGACCCTATATGAATACAATGATTGAATTCGATCTTCAATTTAAAATATTTACACTAGATACCACAAAATCTTATATTATACTTAATAAAAGTATGAATAAACTATTAAGTATTAGTGAATCTATTGTTTTGATGAGATACTCATTCTACGAAACTAGTTTCAATGATCCAACCGTCAAACATGTTTATATATACTTTGAGATTGCATACGCCAAAAATTGCAAAAAACAAACATTCAGAGATCAAGTAACAAGACAAAACATTTCGACGGTTCTAAACGAAAAATCACGATTTAACGGTCATTTTAACTCCGATTTTGATGATTTTTTACAACTACACTCCTTGACCCTATATGAATACAATGATTGAATTCGATCTTCAATTTAAAATATTTACACTAGTGGAAACCACAAAATCTTATGTTATACTTAATAAAAGTATGAATAAACTCTTAAGTATTAGTGAATCTATTGTTTTGATGGGATACTCATTCTACGAAACTAGTTTCAATGATCCAACCGTCAAACATGTTTGTATATATTTCGAGATCGCATACGCCAAAAATTGCAAAAAACAAACATTCAGAGAGCACGTAACGGGACAAAACTTTTCGACGGTTATAAACGAAAAATCACGATTTAATGGTTAATTTAACTCCGATTTTGATGGTTTTTTACAACTACACTCCTTGACCTTATATGAATACAATGATTGAATTCGATCTTCAATTTAAAATATTTACACTAGTGGATACCACAAAATCTTATGTTTATACTTAATAAAAGTATGGTATAGTACTATTGTTTTATTTTTTTTCATAATTATTTTGGTAAACTTCTCATAATTTGAATGATTTTTAATGTTTGGTTTTTCTATGCTTAGTTTATGCAGAAGATAGTTATGACGTGGAAAACCTTACTGAAAACATCATCAACATAACTCTTGAAGGCAATAGATCAAGCCAAAGTTCCAATGCAATTTTATGATGATCGATGTAAATCGAGGATTTTGTAAATTGAGGTTTAAACTTTTGAGAAAGATTTCACAACCTTGAAAACAAAAACTGTTTCATTTTGCATATCCTTGCACATTTAAAATTTGTAATAGATTAGTAGTGTATGTATTATTTTTTTATTAGGCTCTTATTTTCGAGTGTAGATGTAGTACTTAAACGAAAAATGTGTTTTAATGTTTTGAAGTAATATTTATGTGGCGTGGTATGTGCAAATTTAAGAAAAAAAATATATTTTTCTTAACGGGTCATAACGGGTCATAACGGGTCGTGTCACTTTACCCGTCTGTTAAGGACCCGTTAAGATAACGGGTGTGACACGACACGACCCGTTAAGATAACAGGTGTTACACGAAAACGACACGAACACGACTGACACGACCTGTTTGCCAGGCCTACTAATAGTGCCAACGAATCCCCGTTGTTCTTAGCTATTAGAGCAAGTCCACCCCTAAGGACTTTGCGCCAGCACCCAGCGTATTTATCCACCCAAGTGAACAGTAATAGACCCCAATGAACAGTAATAGGCTAAAGCAGCTCCACCCCTAAAAATGGACTGGCACCCAGCCCATCTAATATTATATTATTTTATTCATATCAATTAATATTTTATCATTTAATTTATTTTTTCTTCCTTTCTTTGTCCGGTCCTCACCCTTTTATTCTCTCTCTCTCTCTCTTTTCCAGCTCACTCCCGTGAGCTCTCTCTCTCTCTCTCTCTCTCCTTTTTCTCCATGTTTTCTTCTTCAAATGAGCACCCAGCACCTGAAATGGACCTCTTCCCCCAAAAATGGGAGGTCGCCGTGGAGGTGCTCCACACCAACGGATGGGATCTCGCCGGAGCTCCACATAAACGCTCACAGGCACCTCGTTGTCGTCTCCTCACCGGAGCTCGCCATGGAGGTGCTCCACACCCACGGAGTCGGATCTCGCCGTGGAGGTGCTCCACACCAACGCTCCTCGAAAAATGGACCTCCTCCTCCTCCGCATTACCCGGCTGGCGTCAGCATGAGTCAGATGTACCGGGCAACACCTCAGTCAATTTTGGACTGGGCTACAGACCAGCTTGCGCTGGGTGCCAGTCAATTGGGTCGGGTGGAGGGGTTTCACAGGGTGCTGGGCAGTTTTTTCAGCTGGGTGCTGGGCAAAATGCCCTCCGCTGGAACTGCTCTTACCAAGGGCTTTCCGAGGATTGCTCGCTACATGTTAGAAAAGTTTCCAACATCTTCTTTACATGGAATTAATGGTGTCACAGCTTTGCATGCCGCAATAACTCGCAATATCAGCTGCAAAGGTAAATGATTTCTGCGTACTCCTGTTTTTTTTTTTTTTCCTAAATTTTCATTTTATATATATTAAAGGAGCATTAAGATAAAGGTCCAAAAAATTCATGTACCATCGGCTTCAGTCCAATGTTTAGAAATTTGTGATTTAGGTCCACTTTATTCATTTAGTGTCAAGTGATACTCAAAATATGTTCGAAAATGTTATTTTAATATGATAGTTTAATTTAATTAACCATATTAATTCAATTAAAATAATAAATTATTGAGGGGTTATGTTTGCCTATAGCCCTTTGGCATTTTCGGTTGGAGATGGATTTTTTGTGAAGTGGCTATATTTGGCCTATGGCCTATGACCTTTTGGCCATGTCGGTTGGAGATGGTACAAAATATGGTCTAGCATTGTTAATTAAAATATAATATCTTGCAGGACAATAGGCCTGAAAATGATCCTTTAGCCCTCCTTCAGTTGGAGATGGCGTGAATGTTTAAACATCTCCCTATCTACTAAATTTCTAGAAAAAAAACGTTTTAATTCTTTAATTTATGATAAAATAAAATACTTTTACCATAGATCCACTCCATTCTTCGATTAAACACAACCAAATTTTAAATTTAGCGGAAGAAGGAGAAGAAGAAAACTGAAAAATAATACCGTAAGGCACAAAAAGGAAGAATATTAGCATAGGTAAATATTATATCCTAAACTAAGAAAAGGGCTTTGTATAACAATAAGAAAAGGGTTTTATATAACAAGAAGAAAAGGAAAGAATACAAAGAACTAAATCCAACAATTTTATGAGAATTAAATTCTTTAAACCTCGAGTCAAAACTCATCACAAACCCTAATCCTAATCTAAAACTCCAGGGATAATATTGATTAGTTACAAGTGGGGTAAATTGGTTACGGGAATGAAGGGAAACTGACATGGAATATAATTGGAATCATCTCAGAAGCAGCTCAAAAAATTTGATTCATATCAAGTTTTTTTCTAAATTTTCGAAGGCTAGAAAAAAATAACAGTGTACGGAAATCACTTCTCTTCAAAACATACTTTAACTAACTAAAACTTCTCTCTTCCTGCCGGCCTATATGTTTCCATACAATTTAGGCATCGTGAAGATGATGGTTTCCAGGAACCCTGAAATAATCAAAGAAGTTGATGCCAACGGATGGACTCCATTACACTATGCAGCATTGACAGGGAACGTTAGAGCAACTCGATTATTGATGCAACAAGATAGTTCTATTTCTTACATCTTGGACAAATCTGGAATGTCAGCTCTTCATGTTGCGGCGTACGCAGGCCGCCGGAAAGTGATGGAAGTGCTGACTCAAGTCCGGCCTGATACTTGTGAATTGGTCAATCACAAAGGCCAAACGGTTCTGCACGCAGCAGTTTTAGGTGGGCAGTTTGTTACTGTCAGATACATTTTGAGGACGTCTAAGTTTGCAGGACTTATAAATGAAGCCGACAACGACGGAAACACGCCCTTGCATCTAGCTGCTATTCAACGTAGTCTTGCGGTCATAAAAACTATGGCAAGAAACCCTAGAGTGGATAATACTGCTATCAATAATCAACACTTGAAAGCTGCTGACATTTTTCTTGGGGACAATATTGAACTGGTAAGAAATATGTAATAGCTATTTCATTTTGAGTTCTTAGCCCTCGTCTTTTGTTTAGATTTATAGTTTGGCAACATAAACACTTGTTTGGCAAGAGAACATTACTCTTTCTGTATTAATTTTTAGACCCGGTTAGCCTAACAAAGCATTATACACTCTAGGACACCTTCGGTAGACGTGTGGCTTTGAAGCTTCTGGGCCGCCCTGTTGGTGTGCCGATCTTCCAACAACAAATCCGCCTCGACTTTATGAAACTGGAATCAACAGAGAAAAACGATACACCAAACAACATTTTGGATATTGCAGAGAAGAGAGCACTGCTAGCTGATTGGGATGAATCGAGCAAGTTTGACACCCATCTAGTGGTAGCGATGCTTATTGCAACCGTCACGTTTGCAGCAGCTTTCACCCTGCCTGGAGGATTCAAAGGCAACGGAATGCCCGTCTTGTACAAAAGGGCATTTTTCCAAGTGTTTGTGGTATTCGACAGCATCTCCTTCTTTCTATCAATTTTTGTGGTGTTTAACCATTTTATGTTGAAAACTGTCTCACGAACTGCTCTAGCAACACCTTCAAGTACAAATTTGCAATAACTTCAAGTACCGAAACTACCTACTAATCAAGCTGTGGTTTCGGGTCCGTTACCATTTGCAATAACTTCAAGTACAAATTGGAGGTATAAAATTTACACCACAAAACCAATAAGAAATGCTCGAGCGAGGGTGGACGAAAGTTAATTGTAAAAGGGCTTGAGATATCTCTTACTGGTCAAAGTACAAGGAACTTTAGAAATCATTGTTAAAAATGCACTACCAATGAACTACTCGAACACTTGATAAAGTTACAATCAAACCCGTATAAATGAACTACTCGAACTTTGTATCGCATGATCATAATATACACCACAAAACACTATGTAAACCTACACTTGACACAAAATACAGCACGGTTTTGAAAAGTAAGGTTAACTGCACTGCACTCCAGTTAATGCAGAAAGACAAGTAGGAGACAGAAGGCATGGCTTCCAACAGGAGGCAATGGTCTCAGTTACAAAGATATGAAAATTCAGCAGGGTGGCCAATTTCAGGAAATTCAGAATCGACCCATGCGTCGTGTAGGGCGACATTACTAACATTAGAATTTATTAGTTGAGCCCCAACTTATTTCTAATCCCAACAGCTTCACAGAGTTCTCCTAGGCTCATACACTCTCTAAGCATGTTTAACATTTCAAGAACATTGCCAATATATCATTACCAAAAAACACAAGGGAATTAAATATCAATGAAAAAGCAGAAATACATTCACTACTTAATAAACAGATGCATATCCTAAACTTGGGGGTAACCCTAACGTATCCAAATTCCCTGGCTAACTGTTTTAAAGCAAAGCACCGTTACCAACAGCGTTTGCTTCTAAATATGCATTACACACCATCAAGAAACTTCTCACTGGGAGAAAGTCAAAGTGCCTCAAGTGTATTTCAAGCAACGAGGTTCATCTTGACTACATGTATTGCACAACTTCCTCTTGAATCAAGTAATGAACTATTTACGTGCATGAATAACACATAAACTACACTTTAACAAACAATTCAATACAAAAGCCGAAAAATAAAATGACCTCGAATTTTAACCACAACTGTTCCATGAGATACTCCTCCATTGGGATTTGCACAGATGCTCCACGTCCTTAAAATGTGAATATTATGTAAGAAAAAGAAGTAAAATTTCCAACCATTATTCAAATATTCACAACAATCTTCATATATCATATAGAAGCATCTCTGTAGAGAAACATTAACCATTCAACAAGATACAAAACCCTAGCAAAGAAAACAAAATATCAGACCAACAAACGTGTCATCCTCCCGTATTTTTGCCCATATCAAATGCCAAGAATGCACAACAGCAGGGGGCAAGTATCGAAAACAACTACGTGTTTGCAAAACTTAGTTATGGAGCAATTATGGAGAGTTGTCAAAAGCATTTACAACAAGGATAGCAAAATGAACCTCAAATTCTCCATCTACTCGATCAGCTCTCACTCGTGCATCTTTACACTCGCAGCTTCACCCGGTCCCTCTAACAAACTCCTCAATGCTGTGACCACTGAATACTCTTGATATCGATCCCTTCTTTCACCATCTCATACAGCGGGCTCAACTCCCTCAACTTCTTCACCTGCTGCACTGTCAGCTGAACCGCCCTGTCAATCTCCTCCTCCGTGGTGAACCGCCCAATCCCAAACCGAATTGAAGTATGAGCCATGTCCTCATCCACCCCCAATGCCCTCAACACATACGACGGCTCCAAACTCGCACTGGTACACGCACTCCCACTCGACACAGCCACCTCCTTCAACCCCATCAACAAGCTCTCCCCTTCCACATAACCAAACGACAGATTCAAATTCCCGGGATAACGTCTCTCCTCGCTACCATTCACCACAACCATATCAAGCTTCTCCCTAATCCCCTTCAACATCCGATCCTGCAACTCTCTTACCCTCTTCTCATCGTACTCCATTTCCTTCTTCGCAATTTCGCAGGCCGCACCAAATCCTACCACCAACGGCGTAGGAACTGTTCCGCTTCGAATTCCTCTCTCCTGCCCACCTCCATTCATTTGGGGCTCCACCCGAATTCTCGGCCTCCTCCTCATGTACAAAGCCCCGACCCCCTTCGGCCCGTAAACCTTGTGCCCCGAAAGCGACATCAAGCTCACATTCCATTTGTCCACATCAATTGGGATCTTCCCAAGCGCCTGAGCGGCGTCCGTATGGAATGGAATTTTGAACTCCTTGCAAATTTCCCCAATTTCCTCCATCGGCTGAATAACCCCAATCTCGTTGTTCACCGCCATGACCGATACGAGCCCTGTATCGGGCCGAATGGCGGTCCGGAGCTCGTCGAGGTCGATAAGCCCGTCGGACTTCACCGGAAGGTAGGTCACATCGTAGCCCTCTTGCTGCAGATGACGGCACGAATCCAGAACGCACTTGTGCTCCGTCTGGGTGGTGATGACGTGGCGCTTCTTGTCCTTGTAGAAGTGCATGACGCCCTTGACGGAGATGTTGTTGCACTCGGTGGCGCCGGAGGTGAAGACGATTTCTTTGGGGGAGGCGCCGATTAAGTCGGCAACCTGGGCGCGGGCGGTCTCAACGGCGGAGTCGGACTCCCAGCCGTACATGTGGGTCCGGGAGTGGGGATTTCCGTACCGGGTGAGGTAGTAAGGAAGCATGGCGTCGACGACTCTGGGGTCCACCGGCGACGTGGCCTGCATGTCCAGGTACAGAGGCCGGCCGTAAATTTTCACCCCTTTCATTGAAACTCCATCTGCGTCGTCGACGGGTTCGGCGACGGCGGCCGCGGTGGAGAGGGTGCGGACGAGATGGGAGGCAGCGGAGGCAGGTTTTGGGGTTAGGGTTTGGCGGCGGAGAGCGGAAGCGAGAAGCTTCGCTGCCATTTTTTTTTTTTTTTTTTTTTTTGCGGGTCGTCGTCTGCGTCTTTCTGGCGGTGTTGTGATGAAGTCGCAAAGGGCAAAGGACCTTAATATCGAGATGGACACGTGGTGGGTCGTGAACCCCGAATCCGAATCTGGTACGTGCCAAATGCAACGCCGTCGTATTTGGAGTAAAAAAGGTAACGGATATGTAAAGCAAAGGGTTTGGATTTGGGCCACGTCCCCACTTGCCTTAAATTTATGACAGCAAGCCCCAGTGATTTTATTAAACCCCCCCCCCCCCTCTCTCTCTCCCCTCTCTCTTTCTCTCACTAGAATTTGATGGTTAAATTGTCGTTTTATCGTAGTTGCAACTTCCAAATTTGCACTACCAGATTCCAGATCCAAATCCAAGGTGGGTGGGAATAAGAAGAAGAAAAAGCAGCATTTTGGTGTCTGCATTTCTAAAAGGAGTATACCCACCTACTACTCCTAAAAGGAAAAGTTTTGGACTTTTCAAAACTTTTCATCCTTTGGCAGAATCCAACCGCCTGCAACTCCCTCTGGTATTTATCTCCTTCTCTCTCTCTCTCTTGATTGGCATTCTGACTCGGTGTTCTGATTTAGAAACTAGGAACATGATTAGATCTGATGGTAATTTTGTTAATGTCTTGGATCGGAATGTGAAAAAGATTACTGATTTGGTTAGATAGTGATCAAACCCAGGTGGGATTTCTATGGAATTTGAAAATTCTCATTGGTGATATCAGACATTAACAGTGTTGATAGCTTTTCATGTGAGAATGGATGGGACATTGATTGCTGGGTGAGTGGGTGTAGGTTCTTGTCCAGTTGAATTCAAGGTTGCTGATTTCGGTTCCATCTGTAACACTTTGATTCCTCATTCACATACTTACTGCCTTGCAAACACTTTTTTTGCAGTTATAAGTGAACATGTTCTTTTTGTACTAAATTTTGGTTTTATGACTCTGGGAAGATTTCAATTTTTGTTTACCCGTGTTTGGATGCGAATCGATGAATTAAGAAAAGTTTAATTGTTACTCAGGTTTTGTTTAAGGGACGTATTGGGTGTAGGCTTGTAGCCTGAAAGAGATTCGGGATGTTCAAGCTATCTCCTCGCAGGAACTCGAGATCTAGGGGGTTTAAGGTCAAGCATGCGCTGCAGCTGTTTCTTTTGCTGGGTGTGTGCGTCTGGCTGGCTTACCAAGTCAAGCAGTCTCATGGCAAGAAAGCGGAGTTCAGGGATAAAATAAAGGATGGTGGGGATCAGATCCTCAAGTTAGGAAGAAAGGATCTCAAGCCTGTTGTGGAGGAAATTGTCGATAGGAATGCAAGGCAGAAGGAGGAGGAAGAAGAAGAACAAAACAAGCCTGAAGAGATCGATAATGTTGGAAGAGGCACCGGAGATGATGAGGTGAATGAAAATGATGAGAACAAAATTGATGAGAGGACAAAAGATCAAGGTGATTCAGTACAAGGTGAGAAAGACAGTGAAACGAACAAGGAGGTTACTAGTGAAGAGAGCAACGTGAATGAAAATGAAGAGAGTAAAGAGAACGAAAATGGAAACAGGAACGATGAAGACGACAAAGCCAAGCAGAGTGAGGAAAGCAATGAGAAGGAGACCGAAGGGGCCAAAGAGAAAGAAAGTGAAGAAAAGGAGATTGTAGAGACTGTAGAGAAAGAGAACGGAGAGACCAAAGAGATGGAAAGTGAACAGAAGGAGAATGTAGAGACTACAGAGAAAGAAAGTGAACAGAAGGAGAACGGAGAGTTCAAAGAGACAGAAAGTGAACCGAAGGAGAATGTGGAGAACAAAGAGCAAGAAAGTGAGCAGAAGGAGAACGGAGTGACCAAGGAAATGGGAAGTGAACAGAAGGAGAATGTAGAGACTACACAGAAAGAAAGTGAACAGAAGGAGAACGGAGAGTTCAAAGAGACAGAAGGTGAACCGAAGGAGAATGTGGAGAACAAAGAGCAAGAAAGTGAGCAGAAGGAGAACGGAGTGACCAAGGAAATGGGAAGTGAACAGAAGGAGAATGTAGAGACTACACAGAAAGAAAGTGAACAGAAGGAGAACGGAGAGTCCAAAGAGACGGAAAGTGAACCGAAGGAGAATGTAGAGAACAAAGAGCAAGAAAGTGAGCAGAAGGAGAACGATGAGACCAAAGAGAAAGAAACTGAACAGAAGGAGAATGAAGAGATCAAAGAGGACAAAACTGAAGAGAAAGGAACATCAGAGGAGACTCAAAGGGTGGATAATAAAGAGGGAGAGGAACGCAATGATACAGATGATAAAGAAAAGGAGGCCGAGAAGGAAGGTGATAAGATTGAGAAGATGCTTTTAACTGATGATCGGGTTCGAGATGGAGGTGAAACTGATGAGGGGGCAAGAGAAGAGCCTTACAAGGCAGATGATGCTTCCAGTGCTATGGCCCACGAAACTCAGAATGCGACACAAGATAATGGCAGTTCAGAAAATTCTAATGAAGAAAAGCAGTTTGGAGACAAAGAGAATAATACAAATAGCACTGAAGTGGTTGATGTTGATCAAAACAAGTCTGTCTCAAATGTGGAAGTGACTGAAAAGATTGAACTGTATGGTAATGAAAAGGCCAAGGAAACTGAAGTGGGCGGTGGTGAGAGTAATCACTTGGAACCAGACAATGGTTCCACGCCTAATTCAACGGAACAGAAACAAGTGGACACCAAGACAGATGACTCTACACCGAAAAATTCAACCGATCAGCTGCAAATGGACACAAAGATGGATGAGTCTACACCGCAAAATTCTACAGATCAGCAGCACGTGGAGACTAAGTTCAATGACTCTACACAGCAAAATGTTGTATTAGAGCAAACTGAGAGATCTGATGTAGCTGCCAACAGCGAGCAACAAGACTCTACCACAACAGCTTCCACTATAACTGTGAATGGTGATGCTACAAATGGAGTAACCCCAGATACTTCTAGTAATTCTGAATCTGCTGTCTCGGATAGTCAGACGGTCAACTCCGGTACACCTACGGAAACAGATAAAAGTTCTGCACCTTCAACCATGAGCATTGTTCAGACTCAAAAGCTCAGCAGTAACACCGAGGTAGAAGGAACACAGGAAAATATACTCTCTCAAAAAACAAACGAGAATGAAGATGCTGGCCAAAAGCAAGGTGGTGATTCTTCTTCCTTTCAACAAGAGAAAGATGCGCCGTCAAACCCAGATAACAAATCAGATGCAAGCCAGAACGAAAATGGCAGTGGTGTTCTAAACAACACCAATGCAAACGCTGATACAGGTGCAGGCCAAAAGGAAGGATCAGTTGACTCGTCAAATTCTTCAGTATCCCAGGACAAAGAAGAATCTTCAAACGCCAATACTAATGTTGAGGCTGGACAGAATGAGAATGTGAATGTTGTTAAGAGCAACACCAATGACCACACATATGCAGGCCAAAAGGAGAACACAGGTGCTGGTGGAGAAGACTCTGGTAATGCCCAGAAGGAGAATGAAGATGCGTCAAACACGAATGACAATACTAATGAGAGCCAGAATGTGACAGTGGATTCGTCTAATGCTTCGATCCCCGAAGAAGAGAAAGAGGCTCGTATAGACCTGGATACTTTGCCGGAAAGCAAAACTGCAACTAATAACAATGATGATACGGCCACTGAGTAAAACATTTCAATAAGTTCACCATTCATTTGCGCAACCATATGTCATTTTGATTTCATTTTTTTTTCTTGTGAGGTGATTCGGCATAACTGTAACCTTCATTGATGGCTGTACCTTCTTGTGATTATAGTGCGAAAGTTATTTTATCAATCTTGACTCTTGAGGGCAATATTTTGACAGGATTTTTTTTTGAAATTGCATAGTTCATAACTTCATATCATCCACTCTGTGATGATGTATTTCCTCTTACTATTCTAGAGAAATTCTTTAGGTTCGGACATCCAGACCATATGACTATCTCCGGAAACACAATCCTAACGCTTGTATTTTGTTCCAACCTGCCGTCCTGCCCCTTATGTATACTACCCTATACAAGCATCCGGAAACACGAATTTTTTTGTTTTACCTGTCTTTCGTCAGGAGTAGGATTCTCTTCCCTCCTAATCCCTTCTCCTTCTCTCCCCTCCTCTCACATTTCCTTTATAAGCTATTGACATGGTTTAATCATAACCGTTTAAATAGAATGGGTGGGAAGGAATGAGAGATTAGGAGGGGAGAAAATCCTATTCCCTTTTGCCAAAGGAAACAAGAATCTCTCTTTTTTGTTTCCGTCTTTCGCCAAATCAATGCTAAGTCAGGGAAAGGAGAGGTTACCGGATTGGGGGCAGTGCGAGGAGAGGGTGGTTAGCATGACAATTCAGGGGGTGTGGGGGCAGTTGGACCTGGGATAGGGGAAGATATTGTGTCCAGGTCCTTATGAATTAGGCGGTCCAGTAGTTGGACCTTAAAATTTCTCCAGAGAAAGGACTTGAGATTATTGTTTCGGGAGGACATAATATCTTACTTGGAGTGCTATTGCCGAATGACACACTAATCTATACTCGTATTTGTTATCAGGCACTTGTTCACCACAAACCTCATTAGTGGTTTTGAGTTTTCATTTGCATCCTGAATTTTCATCCTAATCAATCAGTCAATAAATTTCTCTGAAAAAGCTGTGTCGGACATAGTGAGGAGACCGAGAGATCCCCATATTCGGAAGAAGATAGGCATAAATTTTGAAGAACAGGAAGCTGGAAAGGGAAACAAACCAACATGTCATCATCTTATTTATCTGTGTCAATGGTTACAGACAAACATAACAAAAAATTGAACAACTTGCCACAAGGTCTTGATCCCGAATTCATGTTGAAAAATAAGTGCAAGTATTCATATCGAAAGAAATTCAAAGAAGACAGATGAATCCATCCGACATGAACGTGAAACAGAGTTATTCCAAATGGTGCCTCCTTGAAATGTCCCAAATGCCAGCCTAGTGCTCATGCTTTGTTTCAAAAAGGCCATCTGGACCTGAACAACAAAAATATAAATGCTCAGATATTTGAGCAATGTTTATTAAGAAAGAGAATAAAAAGGTGAAACCTAACGAACACATAGATCCAGAAAACAATAATGCTTCAACATCTCAAATTGGTGGATGAGACAGCAGTACAGAGCACAAAAGCAATTGAAATTTCTCTTCTTGTAAGTTAATTAAGAAAATCAAAAACAGGTTATTGAAAGTACCGTTTTACCAATAAGCATACAACATGTCTACCCAATATCTTTGAAGGACAACTATCTAGAATAGCTGAAAAGGACAAAGGCTCGTAGAATATCCACAAACAACAACAATGTACCAGCTTTAACAATGACTTCAAAGTTTTGCATATACTGAAGTTAAGAATATTCAAGCATCAAATATGGCAGTCCGAACTCGATACACTGTAAGACCTTACATAAATAGGTGCCTACATTATTAAAACATGCCAGCAGTACTGCAATAAATAGTGAGCCATACTATTAACGATCATTTAGCTTATTAGCCCCCACTCAAGACAGGGCCAAACCATTATTATCAACAGTTTGAGGTTAAATACAAAAATCTTACTTATTCGTTCGACCAATCTGTGGGAGAAGAAATTTCAAGACAGGAAGATCATATCTTTCCTTGCTACCAAAAAACTTCATCTATTTCTAAAAGCCAGTGGTAGAATAACTATCAACTTGGGGCCACATCACACATACATGGTACAACATTGGTCTTCCTTTATCCTTTTTAAGGTTATAAAAACGCATCTAAGGTCATTAAAACAATTCAAACATGCTCCTTCCACTAACTGAACAACCAAAGAATGACGTTCTTCACTAGACATACTGATCAACTATAACAAAACCCACAACGATAAGTAATAGGTACGGTGAATACAATCAAATAGAATGCGCTGCAAGATGTAGAACTTTGCAGAAATATTATAGTAAAGAAAGAACAAAAAATATTCAAGTCAAACAAGTTACTCGTCCCAAAAAATAAAACCCAGACTACTTGATTCTTCCAACATAGAATCCATCTAGAGAAGAAATTAAAAACATAAAACCAGCCTTTATCACAATTTAAATTTAATCATTGTTTCTTGTAAAAAGAAAACACTGACCACAGGCATTTGGTGAATAGAAGAATATTATAAATTCAGGCCATAATGATGTTCAAAATCATACCCCATGGGAATTCCTTATTGCGGATGTGCAAATATGGGTAAGCCTGCAAACATAGACAGCAGATAACGTGGAATCACTATCAAATGCATAAGGTAAAGCTATATATAATATCAAGGAAAACAAAGTGAAAAAAATCACAATGCTTAAGAAGAAAGCTCACGGGAGGCGCATCGTAGTGAGGATGCGGCTTTGACAGGTTAACAAAAGCTAAAATAGTGCAGGAAGCGATGCCCAGGTAAGTTATCTTCTCCCACTTGGCCGTCTCACCTGAATAAATGAAAGAGAAAAACAGATCAAATACAAAGTAAAACCACTAAAATAATCGGCGACGCCAACGTATTAAAACAATGAATTTTATGCTCCAAACCCAGATGGATCTGAATCCTTAAGCTGTCACCATGGCATTCAAAATTATTCAAACTAACCGGAAAGGCTTTCCACTCCACCGAAATCCCGAAATCAAATTCATCTATTATGGCACATTTTGCTAATTTCCACTACAATATACACATATCTACAGAACCATTGAACAAAAAGAGAAAAATTATCACAAACCTAAGAAACTAAGGTCAAAACCCTAACATTTACCCGCAAATGCTAATTGGATTTTCTCAGATTAATAAATCTTGAATTAAAACTAAGAAATAATAATTATATATCAAAGATCAACAATTAAATAATCGAGTCGCATATATTCGCGTGTGTGTGCGCGCACGCGACGGAGACAGATAGAGAAATAAGAAATTACGAGCATCGTCGTGTCCAGCAGAGGAGGAGAATGAGCGCCTTGGAGGAGCAGCGGATCGAGAGCCGCCACGCAGGGCGGTTCGAAGCCCAGCAGATCGGAACATCGCCGTCGCCATTTCTTAGCAACTCTTATCTTTTACTCTTTGATGTTGTTTTGTGCAGAGAATTTATGGAAAGTGAAAATGCGAAACCCTTTTTTGACAATTTCGTTGCAGAAAATGCGTAGTAGAGGAAGTCAGAAATTAAAAAGAGAAAAAAGCCCATTTATCTAACGCCAGTTTCTGTTTACACCCAACTAGTTACAGGCCCAAGGTTGCCTATTGCAAATGCATGTTTATCAACAAGAATAATGCTAGCGAGACTAAATGTAATATATACGAAATTTTATAAACTAAATAATATAAAAATTGATGATTGGATTATTAGTCAAGTATTGATTGACGTGCTTATTTCTTATTGGTGATATATCATTTAATTTATAAATTTCGTCTACAAATTTTATCAACCTAACATTTTTTTATGAAGAAGAAATTTATTAAAGCTTAGAACCTCTAATACAACCGTTTCCCATACAATCAAAATTAAAAGCCTCCATAGCTGATATCGGAAGACAAAAATCCCAAAAATGTGGGTTGGCAACAGTGAGGCCCACATGAGCTAATGCGTCCGCCACGAAATTAGTCTCCCTATAAATATGCTTCCAATTGATATGCTGAAATTCAGAAGTCAGCTATTTGATGTCCTCTATGATAGGTTTAAGATGCCAAGGGGGCATCCAAACATCTTGCACCACCTGGATGATAAGCTTAGAATACCCTTCCACCGTCGGCTTCTTCACACCTTTGTGCCTAGCAAACAAAATCCCTTCCTTTAAAGCAACGGCCTCCACAATCGAAATGGTGGCGCCATCAAAGTTCAATGCCCCAACACCAACAGGTTGCCCCTCCGCATTTCTTAGAACAAAAGCAACTGCAGAACGATCCAAACTAACCGACCCATCAAAGTTTAATTTCACATAGCCATGGGGAGGAGGACGCCAACAAATGGGTTGTTGGTGGCAACGATCACCCCTAGAGATCTTCATACAATTATCCTTAAAAAAAGATAAGCTTACACTTGCGGCAATGGAGATACTCCTAGCCGGATTAGGAATCATACTTCTAAAAAATTTATTATTTCTATCATTCCATATTTGCCAACAATTAAAAATAGCTTTACTACGATCACTCAAATCATTGCATTCAACATTGTCAATTAGTTCCATCCAATCTAACACATTATTAAACTGAGTCAAATTATTCTTCCAATGACTTACCAGAGAGATGTTCTACATTTCTTTGGCATGCTCGCAATTAAGAAAAAAGTGATTTTGAGTCACATCCTCATTGCCACACATAGGGCACAATTTGTCAATATTTTGAATAAATTTACTCAATCTCATCCTAGTATGAAGTTTTTCATGAGTGAAAAGCCATGCAAAATTTTTTTACCTTTGGAGGTATCATTAACTTCCATAATCTTCTTAAGGAGCTTATTCCTTTTAACTTCTTGATTATTATTACTCTAAATCCAAGTTGCAGACTTGATTGAGAACTCACCAGTAGAGGAGTGTTCCCACACGAAATTGTCACTTTTATTTTGAAGGGAAATAGGCACCATATAAATTTTCCTCACAACATCCAGGTCCAACACTTGGGAAAGGCGAACTCTATCCCAACTTTTATTATCAATAAACTCACTCACTTTAGTGTCCCAATTTATGTTCTGTCGTTGATTTTTAGGAATTAGCTGGAATAAAGGATAAGGAAAAACCCAATGATGGGTCCCAAAAAAAGGATATATTCACCATTACCCACAACCCATCTAATTCCCATGTGAATAACATGTCTACTATTCAAAATCTCTTTCTAGGCCAAAAAGTGGTTCTGCTTGACTTTGCAACTAAAAAAATCATCTTTCTTTAAGTGCTTTCTTTTAACAATTTGCACCCACCAATTGTTTTCATCCTTTAAAACTTTTCATACTAACTTAGCCAAACATGCATTATTGAAATGATCCACTTTTCTTACACCCAACCCCCCCCCGATCCTTAGAAGTACACACTTTTTTCCAAGCCATAGGTTTTAACTTCCTATCTCTCCCCCAAAAGAAGTCCTTACACTCATTGTTTAAGTTCTTAGTTACTCGAGTAGGACATTTAAAGCAAGACATAAAATGGTTCAGCACACCAGATAAGTTGGACTTAATGAGGGTTAGTCTTCCTACCTTAGAGAGAGTATTAGTCTTCCACCCAACAAGCTTTTGCTTAATTCTTTTGATTAATTCACATTCATTAACTGGATCTTTTCAAAACACAATATTATAAATGCCCAGATATTTGCCAATAGTAGTTTATGTTGAATATGTAAAACATTAACAATAGCATTTCTAGTTTGAGCATTAGTAGTTTCTGAAAAATAAAGCGAGTATTTGTGGATTGACCCAAAGCTTTGGCAAACATATTAAGAACATGAAGTACATTCCTAGCACCTTTTGTAGTTGCCCTAGCAAATAACAAACAATCGTCTGCAAAAACTAGATTTGATATTATAAATCCACTAGGAGATGACAGAATACCAACATGCGATTTAGGGGTAGTGGCCATTTTGTTAAAATGTCTAATCAACGGTTCCATGCAAAGAATGAAATTATAAGGAGATAAAGGATCCTTTGCCTTATTCCCTTCTTAGGGTAAAAGTAACCATGAGTAGAATTAATCAAAACCGGGAAGGAAGTTGAAGTAATGCATTCCATAACTAAGCTCACCCATCTTTCTGTGAAACCAAATCTAAGAAACACGTACCTGATATACTTCTAATTAAGATAATCATATGCTTTTTCTAAATCCAGTTTTATTCCCATTGCTCCGGTCCTTCATTTCTTACCTTTAAAACTAGAAAATATTTCATGCGCAATCAAAATATTATCATGAATAGAACGTCCCGGAGCAAAGGCCCTTTGGTTTCCAGATATGAAATGGTGGAGAAGTGGCTTTAACCTTTTAATGATGATTTTCGTGATTATTTTATAGCTAGCTCACATTACAAATATTAATTGGTCTATAATTACTTACTACCTCAGGATTTTCCACTTTTAGGATGAGGGCAATGTTGGTATGATTAATAAGCCTCAAGGTAGTACTATTTTCAAAGAAATCCTTAACCATAGCACTCACCGAATCTTTGGTTGTATCCCAACATTCATGATAAAAAATTGCACCAATTCTATCCAGACCTAGTGCTTTCAACGCACCAATTCCATCCCATATTTCTATCTTTTCAACAAGCTTGAGTAAAAGTTCATTGGTGATGGTGGTCAATACAAGGATCAATAATATCTGCAATAGAAGAGATATCCACAAGAGCAAGGGGACTATCACAAGAAAATCGCAATTTAAAGTCCTGCACAAAAACATGTTCTAGATCCTCACCTTCATTCCACCAAAACCCACAAATATCCCTTATCTTTCTAATTTCATTTCTCTTTTTTCGAACAGTTGCCACCGTTTGGAAATACCTTGTGTTCTTATCACCTAATTGCAGCCAATTGACTTTAGCTTTCTGTGCCCACATGACTTCTTCTTGTCTTGGAATTGAATTAAGTTCCTCACTAAGCTTTATTTCTAAATCAATCTTTGAATCAACATTTTGGTTTTTCACGATGGTTTCTTGCACCTCAGCAAGGTCCCCAAGGATTTTTTTTCTTACGCTCCTTTAAATTACCAAAAGTTGTTGTATTCCAACCCTTTACCATATATTTGAAAGTCCTAGCACGCATCCTAAAAGTGTCCATAGAATTTAGTCCACTTTGTTGAATTAGGTCAATTCACTGATTATCTACCTCGGTTTTTTTCATTATCTTTTTGTTAAATTGTGATAAATGTAATCTCTTACTTATATGTTTATCTTTTACTCAATTTTAGGATTAAATATAAGAATTGAATAGTGTTTTTCCTTTTTCCTTTTCCTAATTTGTATCTCAATTTTTTACTCTATCTCCATCACACGTTAATTGTGTTAACTAATTTATATTGTAGGTACTATATATACCATTTTCATTGATGATAGGTAGATTAATTTTCATTTATTTTCATACATACTTGTATAACAGGTTAAATATATTTTTATCAATCTATGGTACATGTATCATATATGATGACATATAAATTTTAGTTTAATTATTTTCTATAAAAAAAAGTGGTTAGATTTTCATATTGAAATATTCAAATTAAAAAATTCTGAAGATGTATAAATTAAGAAATCTAATTAAAATTGAAAAATAATGAAATTTGAATAAATCCAACCAGAGGTCAAATTTTTTAACCTAATTCAAAGTATCCCTTGATTAAATTAAATAAAAATAAACAACATAATTAAACAGGAGTGTGCAGGAAAGTAGAAAAACACTCTTTATTCTCAAATTGTTGCCTTTTGAGAAGATCATAACACTCTTTGTTAAGATCCTCTGGAGTTTGCTCTCTTCTGTCAAATATTTACTGGAGGTCCTCCCGCTGTTCTCGAGATCATAGTAATCTATGTTAAGCCCCTGATTTTATATCCTCACTTTGTTTAGTGCCGACACATGGATTCTACTAATGGTCAAGCTTCTTAAAAGTAGAGTACGTTGTTTGGGGTAGGAGGAGTACAGTCCTCTGTCCTTAATTTGACTACGAGGATTTAAAGGATGAAGCTACAGAGACCATCTACTAGAATTATAGTTGGAAGCAGATTCCCTGCTCTCTCAATTCTCGTATTTTTCTATTTTGTGTAATCACTGTTAAGTCACGTTAACATTTTATATTATTTTTTTATAGAGATAATAAGACAAAAAAGAATAGTAATATAAAATGTTAACGTGGCTTAATCATGACCACACAAACAGGAGAGCACGGGAGGGCACAAGAAGTGGGACGGCAGAGAATTTGCCGTCCATTATAGTTTGTAGATTGCATAAATATGAACCACAATTTGTGGTGATTGATGTTGATTTTTTTTTTTAAATCACTAGATAAGAAATCCAATCATCAATCGCCACGTCATGTAGTTTACAAAATATAATATCACTAGCATTTTCTGGATTTAAATTCTAAAAAAAAAAACCAAAAAATGTGAAATACGGGAGTTATTGGGTAGCCAAAGATGAAATTTAGAAAACATATGGTTCATAAATGAAATTTCAATATAGATTTAACCTAGTTGATATTCAGTGTGGAGACATTCTCGAGTATTGGACAATAGATTTGACGTTTTAAGATACAAATTAACTTTATTTGGCAGATCGTGAGAGTTCAAACTCGAGTTAGTTTAGTGAAAAGTAAGCAAATGTTATGAATCCCAACTCGAATTTTAAATCTATCAAATGCATTTTACGGCTACCGACTTTGGTTTGACATACTATTTAACCCAAGGGCCAAAAGTGTTGGAAGATATTAGTGTTTTAGATTTATTTTATTCTTTGAGTATTTAGGTATGTCAAGTATTTGGTCTTCTAAGGTTTCATTTCTTAAAAATATAGCTTGTATCTCAATATCAAAATTGGGTCTATCAAAATGTAAATCCTTAGTTTTTAGTCATTTTGGCAGTATATGCTGTCATATATGCTTGTAAAAAAAATAAAAAAATAAAAAAATTTCTCGCAAAATACAAATCATACCACATTTGTATTCTCTTTCTAATAAATAGAACACACACATGTTTGTGCGCTATACCTCTACTAGAGAGATAGTAATATATTATATAAAAAATTTGATAACGTAGCATTAATCAATAAAAAAATAATTCATTTAGCAACTAGTTTTTGACGGCTAAATGTGGTTATCTTGTTCTAGCAATCTGCAGCTAACTTTTCTGCATATTGGCATCAACCTGTATTATTAAGCGTGGCTTATCAGTCGCCAAGTAGGTCTGAAATTCCACTCCAACAACCAAACATTTAGACTCGCAGACTCAGATTTGTTTTGTCATAAAACAGATAGGAAAAAAAACAAGGAACAAGAACAACGACAAGATTCAAGAGCCACTGTCATATTTGAGCCAACAAGGAAAGTTGATGTTACGTATGTTTAACTACGATGGTAAATAACAATGATACCGAAACAAAACATGAAAAAAGTTGTGGCTTCAAATTAAAGACGCAACTGAACAATTACCTTTCATTTGCCGACTAAGAAATTACTTTCGCTGCATTACAGGCTGATGTTACTTCATTCTATATTCTAGTCCAACGAAATCCTTGTTAATGCATAAGTTAGACTTTGATTGGAGAAATGAATATGTAACTATGTAAGCTCTAGGTTTTATGGCTAATGAACAATTACCTTTCCATGGATGTTTGCATGCCCTTATATAGTGGCAAGTATGCGCTTGAAGTTGATTCATAATAAGGCACGTGTGACATTCTTTATGTGGTTGTTTGCACACCAAGTTATCCCGTCCATTTAACCAACATCGTTTAACTAATATATAGAGGCATGAATTAAGAGTCCCGTTTAAAGAAGACTCTTAACAAGCAAGGAAAAAAAAAAAAAAAACTGAAAGCTAAAATCCGAAAAATGAAATCATTATCGAACAACTTAATCGATCATGTGTAACTTTCCAAATAATATCAAAATATTACCAATTTCCATCCTAACTAATTAAATACAATCACATCTGGTGAGATACTTTCTATATTAAAATATAAATCTAATCTAATCTAATATCAACTGAATCTAAATCGGATGATCCAATTATGATTTGAATAATTCATAACATAACTCGGATTATAGATCTAATTATAAACCCGAATCCAATATTTTCTTCTAGAAGAAGCGCATAGCATAGTACTCATCCTGTTCCCTCGAGACCAAGGGAGTCCATCACATCCTCTTTGGTCCAACCCCCACGCAACAAAACCATAGACAGTACCTTCACGCGCCACTCCACGCCCGCCTCCTCATAACCATCTCCCGTCATGTGGGGCCCACTTCTCACCTTCTCACCACAGCCGTCCATCATCATCATCTCCTTAACCTCCTCCTCCTTCCACCCGCCCTCCCTCAGCCTCCAAAACACCTCCTCCAAACATTCCGCCAAGTCTTCCCCACTCCACCACCCGCGCGTCTCCTCACGCCCCACCACCTCGCTCCAAAACTCGATCCTCCGCGCTGCCCTTGGGGCCCACGCGGGCACGTGCACGAACCCAAACTCTTGGCAAAAAAACCGGGTGATGTCATAGCTCAGAACCCTGACCCTCTCCGCGTCAATGTACAAAACAGGATTCCCCGCCACGTTCGGCCTCGAAGGCACGTAACAGTTCCGGTAAATCGGAACGAGAACGGGCGCTTTCATCACCAGCTGGTTTGCCACGTCAGCATCACTATGACGATGACGCGGTGAACGCTTCGGACCCCACGACTCGCACCAGAGGGTTCCGTTGGAGACTTGCCTGAGGAGGCTGCGGGATGGGAGGCTGAGGAGGATCCGGAGTTGTTGGTGGGAGGAAGAGCGCCAGTTGGGGAAGGCGGGGCCCACGGGGAGGCCTTCCTGGAGGATGGTGCGGAGGTCAGGTGGGAAGGTGAAGTCAAAGGCGGCTTCGAGGGAGGCGAGCTCTTGATCGGTGAGGCCTTGCTCGATTGGGATGTTGTGGGGTGAGGAGTGGAGGTGTTTTACGACGGACTTGGCGTAGGCTGCGAAAGAGAAGCAGACTAGCGGCTGTTTGGGTGCGGCAGTCGTGGATTTGGAGTTGGGTTTTGGTGGCAGCTTGCTGATGATCGTGTGGTGGTTGGTTGGTGCTGACGGTGCCATTCGGTGGAGATGGTGAAGATGTGAAATGGAGTTTTTTTTTTTATAAATTAATTTTATTTAGTTTTGAATCTTTTGACCGGATGATTTGGTGGAGGAGCAGGACGAGAAGAGGGGAAGAAGATGCTCTTTTTTGTTTTGTTTTTTGTGATGAACTGTTTGGGCGAAAGAGTCGTCGAAGGAAGCGGTACGTTTTAACGTCGACTTCTAGATTTAGGTGGCAGAAGCAGCATATGTGCGAGTTGGATTTTGCTTAATCGGAAAACTCCCGCGTTGGATTTGCTTAATCGGGAAGACTCCCGCGTCCTGGTTTCGCTGTAGAAGGGGGGAGTTCGAGTGCATGCGTGTGTATATCTCATGGAACATGAGGCCTCACGTGCTGGTCGTTGGCATCTTATTATATATACGTATCTATGCGTTGCATTTCATGCCTCTTTTGTCTCGTAGACATTTAAAACTGTATATTAATTGCAAACAATATAAGGATAGATTTTGATGGAATGGCTTCAAAGGAAATAGTTTGGATTAATTTGGCAATAGGGATATATTAGTCAAGGAAAAATAAACCATAAAAGCGATGGGAATACATTGTATTTGCAATTGATTTAAGGTAACTAGATACAGTGACATATAAGATTCCGTAACAAGTAAATATTTTTGCAGAAGCATAATTTATTTTCTGGTTAAAATACATTACGAGATGTTTTTCCATTGAAATGATTAAATACAAAGGGTTTTGAAATCCACTTGCTTGCATCTTTAACTTGCATATGTAAGAAAATCAATTTGTGTAGAGTTGGCCTTCCGCCATATTGTTTGTTACCCACCCTAGCTAGAACAAGATTATCGAGGGTTTTTTTTTTTGTAAAATAAATAATACGCCTTTATATGTCAAAAAACATAACTAAACTCAATCTTTTGAATTTTAGTTGATAACTAAACACATTCTTTTGAATTTTAGTTAAGGCAGCTAGAGCATTGCACTCTCCTCTACACCCAAATTTGTATCACCTCATTTCCGTAGTCTAAATGAATTAAGTGTAATTATCCGATCGTTTGTCAATATTTTTATCTACGCACCCTAGAAATCGATTTTAATCTCACTTTGCTCTCTGTAACTCAAAAGTCGACACTTTATTTCCTGAAACTCAAAGTTCACTTCACTTTGCCCCATGAGACTCAATTTTGATCCCAATTTGCCCTCGGAAACTTGAAAGTCGTCTTTATAAAACTCAAAATTTGCTCCACATTGCCTTAGATCTTTTAATTTCTTGTGTGAGTTTGATTTTGGGGCGCCATACTAATTAATCTTTTTTATTTTTGTCATCTCTTCAATTTCTTTTAAACTTAATATTCTCTTATTGTTGAATGTTTACACATAATGGAGATTTATAATCAAATTTATTCCAAGGTCCACATATATTTTAGGAGGTGACCTATAAGTTTCATGGAGAAAAGAGAGTCCACAAGTCAAAGTAGAACAAATTTTGAGTTTCAGAGAGTAAAGTGATGTCTTTTGAGTTACAGAGTAAATGTTAGCATTTTGTTCATATATAATCAAGGTTAAGTAGTGGTAACTATCGCCCAAGAAAAAAAATACATCATATTGTTATCCAAAGCATATAAATGTGCAACAGGCTTATAACTCAAGCAACTAAGAAATATTACCTCTACTAGATGCCATGATCCTTCTGGATGTATAAAAATCCCAATGATTAATTAATCTAATTAGTCAATTTACAAATCACATCCTTTCACAAAAGCTAGATCGCACATGGTTTCGTGATAACGTGACACACATTCTCCCTTGGCATAAAGTGTTGAAAATGATATGAAGGCATTAAGTTTGTAAAAACGAACTCATATCCAAATAATTGCATGCATATTCGTACACCTTCTATTGCGTTTGTCGAGCACGGATATATTGAATCCCGGCTGTTTTCATACGATCTCGGTGACAAACAAACAATACACACACAAAATGGCATACAAGCGTTTGTTTGGCACACAATATTTTATGAAATTGGGGGGCCATATTGCGTATGGGACAGTACTAAATCTAATTTTCATTCAACCAAATTAAGAAAGCAACTTACAAGATGGGACCAATGCTACTGAATTTGTGGCCTCACTTATAAGCATAGTCTAACTTGTTAGCGATGATATAGCGTGTGTCCTTGTATACAGGTTGGTTGCGTCTATGTTTTTTAACAAATCTGTACCGGTGCTGTTTGTGGTAACCATTTGTGATAGCCATTTTCGTGATTATTCTTTATGCTTATTTGCTTAAATTATCTCCAGATCAATGAATTGGTTACTGAAGAAATATACTTATGTGACCAGTGTCATATCCAGGATTCGAACCTTGGGGGTCTCATGTGGGGCCAAATTGTTTTTTTTTAATTTTTTAATTTTTAATGTTCATGTGGGGCCAGATTGACACATGGCACCCTGTCACTGGTCACGTAAGAGTCATGTCACAGATTAACGGCCATTTTAACAGAAAACTTAACGGATGTACAAAAGTATCCCAGAATTATGACTTTTGGTACCAGACTTGGACGAAAAAAACTTGATATGAAATGTTGAAAACCAAGAAACTTCAGGGTAGTAAATTGAGATTAACCCTCATATTTTTATAAGTTGGTTAAGGGAATCTTTATAGCATGATTTGGGTGGGAAACTTTGGAAATTGCCCCTAAAATGAGCATAAAGACTTTTGCCTCTTTTGAAAAAGAGTAAATTATATCAATGGTCCCTGAACTTTAATCAAATTGGAGCAATGGTCCTCAACTAAAAATCCATTACCATTGGTCTCTCAACTCATCAAAATATGTAGCTATGGTCATTTTCGTCAACTTCGTCAATTTGTCAAAATAAGTTATGTTGGAAGGATCATTGCTACAATTGGGGTCCCTCAACTTATCAAAACATGTAGCTATGATCATTTTTGTCAACTTCGTTAGAATTTTGTCAAAATGAGTTATGTTGGAAGGACCATTGCTACAATTGAGTTAAAGTTGAGGGATCATTGCTCCAATTGGGTTCAAGTTGAGGGACCATTTCTCCAGTTGGATTAAAGTTGAGGGACTAATGGTAATGAATTTTTAGTTGAGGGACTATAGCTGCACATTTTGATGAGTTTAGTGACCAATGGTAATGGATTTTTAGTTGAGGGATCATTGCTCCAATTGAGTTAAGTTAAGGAATCATTGCTACAGTTTACTCTTTGAAAAATTTATAAGTTTTTGCTCTTTCTCTCCACACATTTTTATTCTTTGTATGAAACCGTTGACAAGACACTTGAACAAGCTATCCGCTACATCAAGTAATCAACATTGATAATTTGTCTTTGTATTCTAATTTCTCTAACAATGAATGGAGCCTTGCCCGGTTTTTCTTGGCGGTGTGTGATGTATGCTTGGAAAGATAAGACATAAAGCTATGTTTCTCATATTTTACAGAATTTTTTCAGAAAATAAATCGACCCCAAAACTAGCGTGCAAGACATATGACATGTTTCCCAAGCTTAGAAGGGTTCTTTCCCCCCGCTGCCGCCCATATCACTGCCACACCATACTAGCATTCACCATCTACGCAATTTGCGAAGAAGAGCTTAGGGGCGTGCCTTGCCATGGATTCAGGGTTGTATCCTTCTTTTATTTTTATTTTTATATGTAACTAAGTTATTTTCTAAGGTTTATGATGAAGTCATGATATGAATATTTGCGAAGTATTTTGTTAATTATTATTCAATTATGTGTCATGTTATATTCTTAATCTTTGTGCTTGTTTATTCTAGGTTCGGATTTCTAATGCTTGATTACCCTTAGGAATTTTGCATCTAGATATTTAAATAAATCTAAGAGGATGACCAATCAATTAGGTTTATTGGAACTAAGATTAAGAAGAGTAGATAAACTAGTGAGCATGACCAATATCAAGCTAGCCCTGCTTGGTTGACATGATTCTTCCACGCTTAATGGGTCATCATGTATTTAATTGTATGCCTAACCAGTTGGATAAAATTATCATGTAGATATACAAGAGTTGATGCATGACCACCAATTAATTTATACATTAGAAAGAACAACCTTTAATATTGGCATGATAATTTGATAGTAGTTGGCTCTGGAAAAAGTAAATATGATTGTTGTTGGTGGCTTCATAATATTAGGCTTCCATCGTTTCTTAAATTCTTTCTGTTATGAGTTTATTTTATTTATTTTTGTTTTCTTTTTTCTTGTTAATTTTAATCTTAATGAGTTATTCAATTCAATCTATCCTTTGCTTAATTAAGAAAGACAAGAGGAGCTTTACGAGCAGAAAAATACACATCACCGTATGCCGAAAAATAAGAAATGAGAACAAGGAAGACGGCTTCTTTGCTTACTAGGATATCATTTGAGTCTAGATGTTGAGTCTTGCCGGAAGTAGCTTTCTGGTTTGTCTTCTCCATGCCATTCAAAGAACAGTCCTTATTTATTTAATGTTAGCATTTAGAGGACACTTACTATTATATCAAAAGGGCAGCATAACTGCAGAGCAGGAGGAGAGGAAGGTTGATACAATAGATATAATGCTATATAATAATAATAATAATAATAATAATAATAATGCAAGAAAGACGAGGAGGATTTCTCAGAAATCGTAATAAACTGCATTGTTATTTGTTTACAAGAAGGAAGTCTTCTCTTATAGAGGGCCAAAAACTACACAACTAGTCCTAACAAGTGGACAAGCCAAATGATGATTACATGAGGAAAACACCGAAGAGGAAAATAAGGAGAAAAGGAAAGCAAAGCAAAGTAATGATGGCTAGCTATAAAGTAAAGTAATGATGGCTAGCTATAAAGTAAAGTAATAATTACTATCTATAAAGTAAAGTAATGATGGCTAGCTAGAGGAATAATTACAAGTCTATTGTCTATACAAATAATGTCTAGTAGCTATTGTTGACACTCCCCCTCAAGTTGGTGCATAGATGTCATGAATGCCCAACTAACTTAGTGAGTTGTGAAATACTAAACTTGTGACTGCTTTGGTAAGCATGTCTGCTAATTGATCTTCAGATTTAACGAATGGAACTTCAATAAGTCTTGCCTCAATTTTTTCTTTAATAAAATGTCTATCCACCTCCACATGTTTGGTTCGATCATGTTGAACTGGATTGTGAGCAATATCAATTGTAGCCATCTTGTCACAATGTAGACGCATAGCATGCTTGGGCCTAAATCCAAAATCTCTCAGTAAATTCTTCACCCAAAGCAGTTCGCATACTCCATGTGCCATGCTCCGATATTCTGCTTTAGCACTTGATCTAGCAACAACCTTTTGCTTCTTACTACGCCAAGAGACTAGATTTCCTCCA